GATCGGTTTTTTCCATCAAGAACTTATATCGTCCATTTCTTGCCTTTCCGCATGCTCCTTTTTTTTCGGCTTCTTTTTCTTTGTTGAATGTCAAACGTTCAACGACATTCAGATTGTATCGATCAAATGTTGCTGTCATTTTCCATATTTTGTCTGCGTCAATGCTGAAATACGATGCATCGGAAGACGACCCTTTCCCATTCCTTTTTGCTTTGTCCCTACCCATCGGTCGGACAATTTCTTCTAGCTCGAGTTCGTCGTCCTCATTTAAATCTAGCCCGACACGAGCATCGGAAGAAGTTGTGTATCCACTAGAGCCTATTTTTGTTCTTTTTTATTGTGCTCCTAGTATGAAGTCGACTTCATATTTTTTACACCTTGGACTAAGAATTAACAATTTTCAAGGCTCATTAAACTTGAACGTCTTTCCCATTTCCTCGCGAAAAAAATGCAAATCCTCTTGAAGAATTTTTTCATTTCCTTGACCGCTTCTCCTTTGGGTTTTTAGATTGTTGTATAACCCGTTCATTTTTTAAACGACTTTCGCTATTTCTCGAAACTTTAAATTAAGTTGGTGCTTGGTACGGTACTCGTCTTCTCTACCCAACTCCATGCGAAATCTTTCAAGAATGTGAAGCCAAAAATGTTTATGCGCTTGTGCATTTCCCTGCGCATAATCCTCTAAAATCAACCCAAGTGTGTGTCAACACCAACTCTTCTTGGGGAGTCCATGCTTGAGGCTTTTGTTTTGTCATCTCTTGTACTTGTTGTTTTCCTTTGCTACGGAGTGGGGGTGAGGGTGGGGGTTGAGTTTCTTGTACAATTTCACCATCCGACTCATCGAGGCTTTCGTTTTGTGGTTGAGACTAAAAGGGTGGGGTTTGGCTTTGGGTTTGCGATTGATAGAGTGGGGGTTTGGCTTTGGGGTTGATTTGGTGAAAGTTGATTCGGAAAAACGACAAAGTTGTTGAACATACGTGGACTAACATTTGGGACTTGCATGGGGTAGTATTGTCTAACATTTTGGTATTGAAATTGTGGAGAAGATTGAATGGGGGCATCAAATTGGGGACGATAAACCGGTTGGGATGGATCGAAGGCAAAAATGTTTCGAGTTGGGATATTTGAGCTCGAAACATTGGTTTTTCTTCTATGGGATTTTAGGGTTGGATTTTTGGGATTGTTGGGGTTTATTTTTTTTTTTAAGAAGTAGAGAAGAATCGATAGAAAAATATGTGATTTTGAAGATGAAAGTAGTGGGTTATTTTTATTTATAGGTGTATAAAATGGTAATATATATATATATATATATATATATATATATATATATATATATATATATATAGACACACACACACACATCATAGGTTAAAGACCGTGCAAACCACAGATTTATAAGATAGACAATTAAAATAGATTGATAAGATAAGAAAATTTTAAAAATTCAATATTAAACTATATTGAAATATGGTTGTCAATGTAGGATGATACTGTATTTTAATAAATGAGACTTTAAAATTACTGCAATAAAATATTACAAATTAGAAGTATAATGTTGGAAAAAGTTTTTATTTTGTAAGCATAATGATGTATGAAATAAGAAATTTTTAATAATTCAAAACTAAAATATGTTGAAATATATAAAATATGAAAGTTTGTGGAAATACAGTGGAGAATATGTATGAATATGACTTTAAATATAGAAGGATATTATATTAAAATATTGCAATAGTACAAATTTGAGATCATATTATATTATAAAAATAGAAGGAGATTTGAAATTTTATTATATATTCCTTACAATCATGATATTTAATAAGTTATCTTTGGTAAAATACTTAATAAAATAAATTAGTTACTAAAAAAAAGTTAAAATTTAAATATAATTATGATCTATTATTTAAAAGAAAAAAAATCAGTTTTCTTTGTTCACATAACATTTAATGTGACGATGATAAAAAAAATGTGAATTGGGTTAATTTGTTGCTTATCCAATGGGGTCTCACACTTTATGCAAATACAAAAATATTAAGTGGTCCATCACTAAAACCAAAGGGTTGTGATACTTCCATGGATCATTTTAATATATCCACTGATTTTTAAAGAAATTGACATTTATACCCTTCGTATTTATATTTAGAGTTTATTCAAAGACATTGGCAGATTTTTAGTAAACCAAACATGCATACATTGTTGCTTATTTGGGCGCTGCAGTTCTGGGCCGGAAAATAGTGTCTTCTATTCTATTTTGACAACAATCTTCATCCTGCAACTCCTTGGATTTAACAGCACTTTTATGGGGGACCAAATACCTAGACCCAAGCGGGTGTAATAGTTGATACTAGAATAGCCTATGGTGGTGCCTGCAAACACAAGCAGAGGGTAGTGAGTTTGCAAGCAGAGGGTAGTGAATGGCGATTGTTGTGTAACCTCTTCTTCTTTAAACCCCATGGCTTAATTGTTTGAAAATACCTTCATCGGTATTAACTCCAGTGCACCTCTAGTTCATGTATTTCATTATCGAGAATTGTGACTGATAATAGGTTATTCGATGAAAAACCTCCAACCAACACCACCGCAACAAAGCCCTGGAATCTTTTTGATAATCAGTTCTGAAGAAATCTCGGACAACACCACCACAACAAAACCTAAAATAGATAGAGGTTCTCCTTGGTTGCCGAAAAAAACTACGGCGAAGGGGTTCTCCTTGGTTAGTTTACAGGTGTCACTGATGATCTGCAACATCGTTCTTTTCGGTTTGGAAGATGTTCGACCTCACCCCTGACGTTTTCAAAACCTCCTTTGCGAGCCTTCATCTTCATCCCTTGAAAGACCACAAGCAAGGTGTACATTTTATGACCCAGTTGAGATTTTAGGTTATAGAGACTGGAGAGGTGGTTTTTTTGCTTCCAGTTTTGCAACAATGGGGTTCATAATCGCCATAGAAGAGGGTGGCATAGGAACAGGGTCTGCCGACAAGGGAATCCAATGCACAAGGCTGTGGAGAATAGAGAAACCTTTGGATGAAGACCGGAAAGCGAAGTTTAAACGGCAAATGGGCAGAGGGAGATTGAGATTGAGAGAGTGAGAAGCAGTTGAATAATTGATTACACTCTAAATATAAATGAGGGGCACAATTGTCATTTTGTTTTAAAACTCGGTGGATGCATAAAAAACTACCTTGGCAATATCACTTCCCAAAACGAAAGGATGGTAATCTATTAAATTTAGTTTAAAATTTTAAAAACGGATTAATAGAGTTAAACAAAAATTGAATAATTAAATAAAATTCTATTACAATGTCATGTGTTACCATATAAATAAAGTTGAAAATTAAATATAAACTCTAGAAAAATTATGTGTCACATAGATATTTTTATTTATTAGATTGTGTGTGTGTGTGTGTATATATATATATATATATATATATATATATATATATATATATATATAGAGAGAGAGAGAGAGAGAGAGATGAATGATCATTTGAGAACCTAAAGTTTCCCGAGAACCCGAGAACTAAAAGTGGAACATTAGATCAAAACTTTTAATGGCCTAGATTAAACATGGCATATTTGTAATTATTAACAATTTCAATGGTAACATTGACTTTTTGCAATAAATTACAAGGGTAGTTTAGGGATAAAAATTAACATACATAATAATGAATCAAAATTAATTTTGAAAATACAACTCTCTCTCATCGTCATTCTCTTTCCCCCATGTTCATCTTCATCCCAGATTTTGAGATGAAAGCGTTGAATCTCACCTCTTCATTCCAGATTTTGAGATGAAATCGTCGAATCTCGTCGTGTTCTTATTGTCGTCTTCAGTCGTCGGAGTGTATCACCTCCACCTTTGCTCCTCCACACTCCGGTGAATCACCAATTGTATCATTGTCATTGATTTTCCCTAAAACGTTTGTTATATCTCCGATTGGTTATCTACCACCGTATATCTGGAATAGAAATGGTTATCTTCAGTCGCTGCGCCATTCTTACCATCGTCTTCAATCGCCAGAGTCTACCAACACTGCATCTGCTCCTCCACAATCCTAAATCGTTGATTTGACCTAAAACATAATCGATGTCTCTCATTCCTTACCGATTGCAGTAGATTTGGAATAGAAGTGGCAAAATTATCTAATCAAAGTTGCTTCGTCAATTCACTCAACTTTGATCATCAGGTATCATTAATCCTTACCTACTTGTATTATTTAGTTTTTAATTAGGTATGAAATCAATTCATCTGTAGAATTATCTCTCTTCTTTTATCTAAACTGATACTCTTCAGATTTGGTTGATTTAACTAAGGGTTCTGTAACAATGTGTGGATTTAACTAGGTTTTTTGTAACATTGTGTGGCTGGAATTCTTTGATTCTGATTCATTTTCATTTGAATCAATGCATATAACCGTGGCATGCCATCATCATAATATGCAAACCACACCTGGTAATCTTGAAATGAATTTTCCATTCGATCTGAATCAAAATTGTGAAAGTGAGGATCAGGAACACTCATTTCAGACTCTTCATCATGTTTATTTATTAGGTTCCACTTATGTTGTTTATGTACTGATTATGTGATGTGTTTGTAACAGAGAGGAAATGGCAAACTTAAAGTTCGAGATCTTACATCTGCTTTGGTTGTCGGTTAGTCGGGTCAGATATCTTTTTATTTTATTTTATTATTATTCTTTTTTTTGGTCTGTTTGTTTGTAAACTAAGTTACATGTCATTTTTGTTCTTGATTGTTGGAAAATATTTGGTTAATTTATGGATTTTTGACATAATAGAATTTGAGATTTTTATGATTTCTCATAGTTGAACATTCTGCAGATTTTTATGATTTATTTGTATTCAAGTTTTCATATGTTTACAAATGATTTTTGAATTAAATGACCATCCAAGTTATAAAAACATCACAATTTAACCATACTTCTTATACTTCTTATAGATATAAACACAACAATTAGGTAAAGAACATCTTAATTAAAAAGAATGCTCTCAGATATGCCTGATGTCACAGAATTGCATCTTGTACCTGAGGCTCACGTTCCTATGATGAAATTCAAGTTGAATGGTGTATCTATATATCTTCTCTATGCAAAACTTTCACTTTGGGTCATACCTGAAGTAACTAAACTTTCCTATCTTTCTTTCATCTCCATCTGTTACTGAAAACTAGTTGGTTACTTTACTAATGAACTCCATTTTACAAGAATTGGATATTTCTCAGGATTCAATACTGCAGAATGCAGACGAACAGATGGTTCGGAGTCTTAATGGATGCAGAGTTACCAAGCAGATCATGCGCTATATCCAAAATGTGATAATTTTAAGTTAGTTAACTTATTTAAAAAAAATTGGAAGCAAACATTTTGTTTAAAAATGTACGAATAATGTTTTCATAACTTCTCTAAATCTCATTTATGCTTGAATTCAATTGGTTTAATCTTATATTCTTATTTTTTTGATATTGAAGCCTGCTGCAAGTGATTTTATTGTAAGGGATACTGGAAATTGCAGGCCTAGGTACATGAGGTGCACCATTAATCAGGTGATGCATGTTGTCTTAATGTCTTTCATTTTCATCACTTTTCTTGTGAAATGTTTTAATGTAAGATTGATTTTGTTGTTGTTTGTTTAGATTCCTTGCACTTCAGATCTTTTAAACACATCTGGCATGCAATTGGCTTTATTGGTTAAGCCATTAGCTCTTCCACATCCATCCGAGGAGCCTATCCAAGTAAGACTGGAAATTGGAAAATACTTGTTTTCTTGAAATTATTGAAATTGAGATATAATAATTTCAATATATACTGAAAATGTGTGAATTATTTTTCCAGATAGTGGATTTTCGTGAAGGTGGACCTGTTTGTTGTTCTTGTTGCAAAGGCTATATAAAGCTTTTGACTTTAGGAGCATCAACTGTCATGATGGGGAGCTTTTTTAGCAAGAACTACTGAAGCTCCTAGAGCTTATACAAATCATGTTGGTAACTTGCAATTTTAAATTTATTAAGCAAAAAGAAAACACTCGTATATAACTTACCAGATTAAGTCCTTTTTCTCATTTTGGTCAACTAGGGTGGTCAACGGGTTAAAAATTATCGAGGAATGGGATCTCTAGAAGCAATGACAAAAGGAAGTGATGCAAGCAGATCTCAAATAACTTATTTAATTTATATGTATTAATTAATTAATACATATAAATTAAAATATCACGTCTTCATATGATTTCTATACTTCAAAAAACAGTATTCACAACTTATAAATCATGACAACTCTTGTATTTATTTCTTTTCTTTCTCTGTCTCTGTTGTTGGTTAATTTGTGAATATACAGAAAGCAATTTTTCTGACTCCTTGGACATGCTTGAGGATAAAAGTTTAAAAATAGAAGATGATTCTGACTTGCCATCATGGTCAGGTGATGAACGTGGTGTCAGGGTTCTTGTGAATGTTGATAGCTTTGGTGCTGTTGGAGATGGAGTTTCCGATGACACAAATGTGAATATAAATATATAGTCTTTCTTGAATGTGTTGATGGAGTCATTAAGGGGATTCCTTTTATTTTCATGTATGTTACATAACAAGCCTTGGGAGATGCATGGAAGGAAGCATGTTTTACCGATTGCATTCACGGGAAGCAGTGCAATATATAATGTTATATGCATGAGAACTCAACTGTAAAAATGGTAGAACGAGACTTGGAAGAATAACAAGGATCTCGATGTGGATATGATTCAAAGTGTCATCCAACAACTCTTCTATCAGGTCAATCATAATTGATAATGGTTCATGTTCGAATTTTCTTGAATTTTTGTATTTGTCTAAATCATGGTGTGACGGTTATAAGTAAATCACATGTAATTCATATGTGAATTACATGTGATTCACATGTAAGTCACAAGTAAATAACATATGAATTACATGTGATTCACATGTAATTATGAATTACATGTGATTCACATGTAAATCACATAAGAATTACATGTGATTCACATGTAATTCACACATGATTCATATGTAAATCACATATGAATTACGTGTGATTCACATGTAAATCACAAATGATTCTGTAGCATCCGGGATTTTCCAGGTATTATTAATCATTTTAAAATTGAAGAATGGAATGGTTTGGTTTGGGCTTTGACCTTTGGGCCTTATTAGTGGACTGAGGAAGTGACGTACGCGGGGCGTACACAGCCATGTACGCCTAGCGTACTTGTGAGAATAAACCACGGAGGCCAGATGCGTACGCCCAGCGTACCAGCAGCACACCCAGCGTACGCATGCAACTCATTAAACCCTAAAATTTAGGGTTTACTCCATATATAAAGAACATAACTCCTGTTTGTTCAGCCTCCCTTCACTCTTACCCAGCCACCACGAAAGCCCTAGCTCCCTTTGTGTGCCTTTGTGTTCTAGAAGCCATTTGAGAGTGCTTTTGGTGTTGTTTTAGTGAGAAAAGAAGAAAGGAGCTTGAAGAAGAAGCAAGGATCCACCAAGAGCTTGTAGATCCAGAGGTTTGACACCATTTCTGACTCCTTTGAGGTATCAAGCTCCATACTTGACCATTGTATGCTTAGATTTGTTTATTTGGGGGTTTTTATGTCCTTTTTGACCCCATTGTTGGGAGTGTTTGAGTATTGTTGGTTCCAGAGCATAAGAACTGTCCTTTTGGGCTCTTAGAGGCACTAAGAACCATAAAAATTAGACCATTATGGTTAAGCCACAACCATGCAAGTGTTATTGGGTCTTAAAGTTTGTTAAAAGTTTGTGACTTTATGGTCTAGGAGGTCTTAAAGGACCTGGATCTTCATTTTGGATGTAAAGACTTAACTGATTAAGTCATGGATGAAGTCCCAAAGAAGTTGGCCAGTACGCTGGGCGTACTCCCTGGTACGCCGTGCGTACTGGGTCAACTCCCTGATCTAGTTAACGTCAGCGTACGATGGGCGTACATGCCAAGTACGCCGCGCGTACGCATGCAGAATGAGTGTTTGGGCTTTGGGGCCTTAAGGAAATGGGCCTGGACTTTTGGGCCCAGTGGCCCACTAGGAAGTATAATTCTGGACTTGGGAATCTGAATTTAGGGTATTGGGCCTATTGGGCCACAATTGGACCCCTTGGAACCATTATATTAGGACTTGAACTTTTGGGCCCATTTGGGGGTTAAGGCCCAATTCAGAAATTGGGGAATTAGTGGGCCCTTAGGGAGCCCTTATTAGGCCATATGAGGGCTGGACTTCATGAGCTAGAATTTGGAACTTATGTATGTTCCAATTGGACCGAGGGGTAAAATTGTAACGCCCCGATTCCAGGTATGGATTTAAATAAAAAGTTAATTGGTTTAATGCCCTACTCGACGAGTTGGTTGCCCTACTCGTCGAGTAGCAGCGGGTTTGGAACGCGTGTTTAGTGACCTACTCGACGAGTCCACTAAGGGACTCGACGAGTAGGAGCTGGCAGATGAAACCCTAAATCTCGGGGTTTTGCACCCTATTTAAGGAATGATAAGCCTCCTATGGCCTATTTACAGTCTTTTGAGAGCCCCTTAAAACCCTAATACGTGTGTGTGCCCATTGTGTGTTTGAAGCTTGAAGAGAGGATCCTTGGAGGGAGAAGGCTTAGAGGAGAAGGAGATTGGAGCAAGTAGAGTGTGGGAATCAACTCTTATCTCAGTTATCATCTTCTGGAGGTAACCAAATCGCCTTTCCTTGTGAATCTCTTCTATTGGTTGAGTTTTAGGGTTTTTGGTGAGATAATAAGTTGGAAAGATGAGTTATGGGCTAGATAATGAGGTTGTAACTTCAGATCTGGACCCTCCTTGGATTCTATAAGCATAAAGTTTCAGTTTTGGTCAGGATTAAGGTCCCTCTTGAGCATGAAGTTTCATTAAGAACTTAAAATAGGCATTTAGAGCCTTTATAGCCATGCATGCACGTAAAGTTTGCAACTTTACGTGATAAGCATGCCCTAGAAGCTTGGATCTATGATTTGGAGCCGCTGCATGGCTCAAAACAAGTCTGTATGGAAAAGGGACTGAATGGACTCGGCGAGTCGCAAGGTTGACTCGGCGAGTCACATGAAGATGGCCGTGGACTCGACGAGTTGGATGAACAACTCGGCGAGTCCGATGAAGATTACCATAAGACTCGGCAAGTTGAAGAACAACTCGGCGAGTCGGATGAGTTTTCCCTAGGATATGTATACGTGTGTATCCGTCGAGTTGCAAGGAGGGAACTCGACGGGTGGCCTTAAAGTTTGAACGAGAATCAAAGCAACTCGACGAGTCACCCCGATGACTCGGCGAGTTGGATTGTGGTTCAAGGAACTTGGCGAGTAGCCGAGGGTACTCGGCGAGTTGGGGTCAACATGGACTGTTGACCTTGACTGAGGACTTGGACTTTGACCAGGGGTTGACTAGTGGGTTATGGAGTACCTTCTAAGGTTAAGGACTTATGAGTATATTGTGCTTTGGTGTTAGGTGGTGGAGCCTGTGCCAAGTGATTCGAGAGTTGGGTTTTATCTTCCGAGTCGACATTTGCGAGGTGAGTTATCCTCACTATACTAAGGGGTCTAAGGCACCAAGGCCGGCCCATTGGATATGATATCCTAGTAGTTGTATTATGTTGAGTATGAGTTGGTTATGCATGCTAGTTTGATATGCTAAAAGGGTGGGTCTGTAGGACTACCTGTGATACTGATTGATTTCATGTATGTGCATTATCTGTTACATGTTGATATGTTATGTGGGATGGGTTGAGGATGTACTGCTCCGTGCGGTAGCCAACAAACCCTAGAGTATTCCAGATATGAGCTGAGGGCCCGGTAGGCATTCCAGACTCATACTGAGGACTCGGGAGCATTCCAGATACGAGCTGAGGGCCCGGTAGGCATTCCAGACTCGTACCGAGGGCTCGATGGTATTCCAGATACGAGCTGAGGGCCCGATAGGCATTCCAGACTCGTACTGAGGGCCCAGGGGTAATCCAGCTTGTAAAGCTGTGGACCCAGTGCATGCTGTTCTGTTCAGTTTGTTATGATATGTCATGGTGTGACATGGTTATGTGGACTGTATGTGTATCAATATTTTGGGGGTAACTGACTAAGCTCTCGGGCTTACAGTTTCAGTTTATTGTTTCAGGTACATCAGGGGATCGCGGCAAGGCGAAGGCATGATCGTACAACTCCTCCTATTATGCTTATGTTTCTGGGAATACTCTGATAAAAATGTATTTTGAAAACAAAGTTGTAATGTTTCGATGAACTTGACATGTTTTGAAAGTTTAAATTTGTTCGAAATTTTTGGGTATTACAAGTTGGTATAAGAGCCTTGGTTTGAGTGAATTGGAGGAGCACTTGTGTAACTCCAGTCTCAAATCAAGGAAAGGATTTTCAAAATGATTTTTCAAAAAGGTTTTCAAAATAAATAAAGGAGGATGCAGGGCGTACGATCAGCCGGAGCCAGTAAGTAGACCCCAAAATACCATACAAGTTATCTGATTATGTGATATGATAGAATAACATGTTAGTGCTAGGCTAGGGATCTTCAGGAATGATAGAATTGCCTGATTACATGATGCCTGCTAGCCTAGGGTTTCCTTTATATGAGATTGACATCATTACTGTAGTTGCTTAGTGTATGCATCACAGTTGTACATAATTAAGATCTTATAGCCTGAGAATGTTTGATTTGGCCTTATGTTCTGTTCTTGTTTGATTGGGAGCTTAGGGTAGGATTGGATATTCGAAAGTCTATAGGGTCCAGCGTTATGTATGGCTAGCATACACTAGTGTTGCAGGGTTGGTGGAAGTTTCATGGATAGGAGGGTTGAGTGAAGCCGGGAGGCCAGTTATGAGATGTTTATCTTTCCTCTAGGGTGAGGGTTGAGCGCTCGCCATGTTGTGTATTCAGCTAGGGCATTGTGATGATGCTTGAGACAAATATGGGTAGGTGTG